GTCAAAGGGGTGTAGCTACCTGTCCCATCGGGATATTTCTCTTCTCGGGTTGGGGACATGCAAGGACCATTGATCCATACGGAGCCCTCCGGATCCAACCCTACTTCAAGGTGGGGTGCATGCATCTAAGTGTCGAATTTCGATACCTCTCTACAGGTCGGTCTGTGCAGCCTCAAACAGGTCGGCCTTTAGAAGTTCTCTCCTCCAACAATCATTAAAAAAATATTGTGAAAATTTAATTCATAGGGATTTTTATAGAGTAGATCAAATAAACTGATTTGGAACTAAATATGTTTGTAAATTATAAAGATTTAAATCGTTATACTATACCAATCGACACTTAAATTTGATGATTTTTTCATGGTAGGGAGTAAAACGTTTACCAATTTTAAACTATATATGGACTAAATTGTTACCTATATTAAAATTTAGGGACTGAATTGTCATCAATTTTAAAATATGGGATCAAATTATTACAAACTAAAGTTTACCGTTGCTACTCTCAATTAAAGCAGGGGGACCAAAAATTGTTTTTAACATACAAAATTTAACTTATATACGTAGTAAAACGATATAATTAGAATTAATATGAGATCTCTACTTCATAAAATAACAACTTAAATGATCTATGTCAAAAAAAGAAAAAACTTAAGTAGTCAGCTCCCTACTTTGAAGTTAATATTTTATTGCAAGTGTGCTTAAGATGACATTAAGACAGTATTAATTCTAATTATGTTTTTCAATCAAAGCATGAAATAATGTCTTAAAATACAACTCAAATTTATATATTTTTCCACCAATATTACTTGCCATGTGTCATTATGAATGCCACATCATGAAATTCATTTTAAATATCTAAGGTGAGAGTACTTTAAAAAAGTATATAAGAACTAAAATTTTAATCTAAACTTTTCTTTTCCTAATCTAAAATTACTTATAATTCCAAAGTTTTTTTTAAGTACCACATTTAGGGGGAGGGAATCGAACTCACGATCTTCTGGTTAGATGTAGGTGTATCTTAATAATCCATTGAGTCGTGTTCAGGTTGGCACCAACAATTCTAAAGTTAATGATCTAAAGATAAAATTAACTCGATCTAACATTAGTTTTCCCATGAATTAGGGAAGCCAAGTCTAATATTTAATTAGTCAATAATTTGTCACAATCATTCATGTTTAGAATTTTTTTCATAGGGTTGCTGGGTCAGCTACACGTGTGTAAGGCATTATTCCATTAAAAGATATATAGTCTCACTTTATAAACCCCATGGTTTGCCATTAATATAACCAATAAAATAAGCTCATATATTATTTCGATCTTGGGAATCCCAATCTATTTACTTTAAAGAGGATTTTTTTTATAGTATAGTTGGATCATGATTTTAATGAAGGTGGATTGTGAGAAGTTAGACTAGAAAATGTATTTTAGATAAGATATAGAAACCAAGGTTTGGTTTTTAGGTTTATGATTTGTAAAAGTTAATTAATATAGTACAAAGATATAGCTTAGCTTCTTAATTATGAGTTAAGATTTTAAAATTCTAATATGGATAGAGAATATAAATTTGATTTGTTCACATAGAAAATAATCCATCGTTTGTTTTGGAGTAAATTATTCATTCCATTCTCTAGAAGTAGTTATCGACTTCTCGATGGATCCGATTAATTAACTACAATTACTTTTGAATAGATATGTAGGTCGGACAGAAGATACTTTTCATTTAAAGTCTTTTTTATGTTATTGTTGTTTGCAATTGTCTCTTAAGATACAATTATTATCTTCTTGTATTAGTAACTTAATACTCAAAAATACATGTGGAACCAAGTAAAATATGTTAGAAATTTCCTGTAATGAACTCTGTAATGTTTATGATAGAATTAATATAATTAAATTAACTATTTATGAAAACCAATGGGAAGATTTTTATAATATTCACAAAAGTAAAGAACTTGATAAAAACAAGGAGAAAAAAAACAATCTTAGAAGTTGTATGAAAGAGTTGCAATCTTAATTTCTAAGTATCACCGTACAAAGTTACCATACAAAGACTTTCACGATGAAAAATCACAAATCTCCACAATAATTAATATAACGAAGAGTCATAGAATAACGTTTCTGTTCAAAATAACATATATAAAAGAGGAAAAGAAACCATAATTTCATATGGTTTTCAAGTGGATGATTTGGGGTCTAACCTAAATTTATTAAGGAGAAAAATGATTAAGATTCCAATGTTAAGTTTGCTTCTATAAATGAAGCTTGTCTGCAAACATAGTAGCAAATGGCCCTATGTACTTCACAAAAAATATATTTTTTTATTGGGAAAATTGCCCAAATTGCCTTATTCTTAAACAATACTTCCTTTTTGTGTGTGTCCTTTTGGCCTATTTATTATCTTTAAAACTATTTCTTCTTTTTTCTCTCTTGCTTTTCATAATTGAAGTTAAGCCTTTAACTTTAATCTCCTATAATCCTAGTTTTGTGCCAAATAATGAAATAATTGTATGATTAATTAAGTAATATAGCTAGTTTAAAATTTAACAAGTCAGATTAAATATTATTTTTGTTTGTGTACTTTATGCTTTTTGGTTTAATTTTGTCTCTATACTTTCAAACATTTATTTTGATCACTGTACTTTTAGTTTTTGTTCATTTTAATCCACAAACTTTCAAAATGCTCATTTTGATCTATATACTTTTAAAAATAAACTATTTTAGTCTTTTCATTTTCACTTATACCTAATTTATTTCAATCATAATTTTAGTATGACATTTCCTTCAATCAAATTCTTGAAATAATGTAACCATGAGTGAAAGACTTCCACCGTATATAAAATTTGTGTGTTAAAATTTTACCAATAAGGATCAAGATGTTCACTTAGTATGGAAACCAATGTACTTTTTGAAAATGCAAGACTAAAATGAACAAAAGTTAAAAGTACATGTACTAAAATGAACGTTTCAAAAGTAAAAATATCGATATGAACCAAAGCATAAAATATAGATACCAAAAATAGTATCTAAACTATATATATATTAAAATGTATTAGGATGTTCTTGGGTTGTTCAGTGATAATAGAAATTTGATACTTTTTTCTTTTTTTTTTATACTTTTTTCTACATAAATATATGGTAAGATATTTTTGTAACTTGGGCATAAATAATTTGTGGTATTAATTTTTATTTTTAATTATTTTATTTATTTTTATTATTATTTTTTTTTTTTGCTGATCACGTGAAAATCAGCTTCAACATCGATATGATTTAAACTCAAAGAATAAGAAAGGAGGGAAAAAAAACCATAAAAAGTTAGCTAAAATGTTTCACAAAGTTCAAACTTTCACCAAATAAAACCTACATAATTCCATCATCCTTTTAATTTAATTCAAGATAGTACTTAAAATGATAAAAAGAAAAAAAAAACTAAGTAGATTTGATAAGAATTTGATTAGTTAAATACAAAAGGAAAATTACAATTAAATAATTAATGATATGATGCTCCCCTTCATAATGCATGTATAAGCTTTATCCCTTCAAATACACATTGTGTTTCTCTTTTTCCATTTATTCTTGCACATTATCAAGTGTGTGGAGTTCTAAATGGAGTTGTAGATTTTTTTTTATTCAATTATATAAATAAAGTAATAAATGTAATTTTATACTATTTTTGTTATCACTTTTAAATTTTTCTCTAAATTATATGACCTTGTGTCCTACTAATGGTAGGTCTTGTCAACCATTAGTGACAAATTATAAAATACAAAAATTAAACATTAAATCTCAAACTAACCTACCCCTAGAATGATTTTTACAAGGATACATAATACGTAAAAGGGTTTACCTATAAAAAGAATGATTTCATATTATTTAACTTACATTGACGTATTATTTAAGGGGACGAGTGAGTTTTACTCTAAACTTACATGTCGTATGTTAAACGAAATGAATTGATAAGAATTTCGTCAATTTTAATAGTTAATGATAGATCTGAAAGTACATATTGTACTGATCTTGTAATTAAATTGTTACTTCCAATAAAGTGATAATTCAAGTAAGGGTGTGTTTGGAAAAGATTATAGAATTAGTAATTTTGAAAAAAGACATTTAAGAATAATTGATTTTTCATAATCGTCATATAAGTGATTTATTTTTCAAAATCGCCGTATAAGTGATGCCCCAAAAATCAATTTAAAGTGATTTTAAGTTGATTTTAAACTTTCCTAAAATCAATTTTTAATTTACCAAACATGATCATCCGAAGAGAAGTGATTCTAAGTATGGGTGATGTACATTTCAAACAAATGACATGAATATTATACTCTAATTCTTTTATTCTATTAGAGGAGAGAGGGAATGAAATATGATATTTTTGAAGGTTTTTTTTTTATATAATTGAGAGATTAGAGTTTTGCTCCCTTGTAGGAAGACATCAAAAGTTTTATATATATATATATTAAACGAATTTGAGACCTCTAAACCAGTATGGTTAAGAAACCCTAAGTTGTTACCAACTACTCCTTGGGAGCAATATTTCCCATGTAATTTAAGTAATATCAAAAGTTATTCTTTTTTTTTTTGTCGGCCACAAGGGTATGTTATTCTAGCTTTGACATTAGCAAGAATAAGCATAGCCTAAACTGGTATATCCACTCAAATTTGAGGGTCTTGTTGATGAGTTTCTTGAGAGGAAAAAGAAAATTCCTTTGAGTTGCTTATTAGACAACAAAAGGTTCCGAGTGTTCGTTGAAATCTCTAATTCTTTCCTCTTTCTTAGCAGAATTTACAAGGAAAGGAGAAACCTATTCATAAAGCCAATCCTGTATAGAATTTTGTTGTTTTTTCACCTATCTTTCTATAATACTTGATTTGCAACCTTTTGTTTTCCAGCTGCACTTGTTCAGTTTCCACTTTGACTCTCTCAAATCCATATAAAAGCTTCATCTTTAAGTTAAAGTTAAAGCAGAGTCGCAAAGATTAAGAATAGACACAATTGGCAAAGGTTTTCACAAACACACAACACAGTTTTAAGTTTAGTTTAAGGTTTCATCACAACACACTTCAAAAGTAGAGTTCCATAATCCATAGAAGAACACACACACATACAAATTTAAGATAGATGTCTTCATAAAAACAGAATCAAACACTTAACAGCATCACGAAGGGGGATGGAACGGGTTTTCAGCTCTCAGAACTGCAAGATGTCTCTCCAGACGAAACAAATTCGTGTTGAAGACGCTTCATCTCCTCGTACGCCCACTCGAGACCCGGACAGTAGTGTAGGGGGGGATTAAATCTGCAGTCGTTGATGTCGTCTGGCAAGAACGCCCCATTCTCCACTAGGAACTTCACGGCTTTCTTCCTCCTCTCTTTGGCTGCACTGTGCAGAGGTGTCCCTGGGTTCATTGTCAACATAATGAATATTTAGGATCTTTTTCTAAGGCTTTACTTTCTAAATATATATCCATATCCTTATTCATCTCGTATTGCTGGAGTATTAGGCACTTTTGGAAGAAGAAAACATGGTTGTTAATCTAACATTTTGTTAAAAGGAAAAATAGTAACCGTACAAGCCCGGGTTAGCCGGTGCCTGCTTGCTCATGACCCAAACAATATTTTGGACTGAGAGAACCCAGCACACCATGACACGAGAACCAAATTAACAAGACAGAACAGCGAGCATGCCAAGGCACTCAAAAAGGCAAGACAGTGGTGGTGGGAGCGAGAAAATGAAGTTTTACCCAAACTTGTGTTAGACACCCAAAAGCCAAGACTGACTATGGGGGCGCAGGAGCAACAAAATGAAAATTTACCCAAAATCATAAGTTAAGAGGCAGAGAAGAAAGCACAAAAAAATGAGAGAAAAAAGAGGTTGGAACATCATTCAGAGACGAGGACTACTGCTTTTCTTTAATGAAAAGCCGAGTTTTCATCGAGAAAATGACAGCCCATCAAAAGGAGTCAAACTAAAAGAACAGGCTCCAATCAAGCAAAATAAAGTCTTAAAAGAAGTGATTACAAAACACTTTGGACATTGAAGCCCAAAGAGAAACATTGAACCAAACAAAGTCCCACACCTCCCACACTAAGAGAAGATACTGCTTCTGCTAATGGCGTCAATATGAAAAAATTCATTGTCAATGGATTATATGCTTGTTTAGAGTTGTAATTTTAAAGATTATGAATTTTTTGTATTTCTATCTTAGATTTTTAAATGGTAATGTTGATTCTCTATATTTGTTTTTCGAACTTTTTTTTCCGTACAGCTTCTGTTCTATAGGTTATCTAATTCATATTTAGCAGTATATTTAACTCGGCACTCAATAGGGGTTAAAGTGTTGATAGTTCTTGGCTTCTAATTTAAGAAGCTATCAATTTTAGAAAAATTAACAGAACTTTCCTTCTTTTAAAGAACTTCAATATTCTAATTTTTTTATGGTTAAATTCGAAATTTATAGTTTAAAATTAACTCGTACAGCTTGAATTTTATGTTTCTAAATAAAATTGAGTTAATACAGTTATACTCAGATAAAAGTTAGAACCTAATCCCAGGGAACTACATTATCAGTCTATTTCTCACTTTCCTGTACAAGATCTTGACACCATATCCTTGCAATGATTCATCATTAGCAACAAACAAAGAATATGCATAAAAATCAACTCCAGTTCTATAATTAATCAATTCCAAGAGAAAATGCGTCCGTAACGATACTTACAGCCACAAGCACCTTTAGTTCTAGCATCAATGTTGGCACCACGTTCAAGCAATTCATCCATTACTTCAAGATGCCCACCCTCGGCAGCAAGGTGGAGGGGGGTCAGCCCCTTTGATTTGGGGCCCCATGCTATTGCATTCACATCCATTCCTTCGTTGAGCAGACGTTTCACCTGATCAGGAAGGGGAAAATAAAACTTCAAGCAATTATGGAAGGGGAAAATAAAACTTCAAGCAATTATGTTTGCAAAATAAAATTGAGAACAAATGAATAACACCAAGAGCTATCACCTCAAGAATAAAACGAGCAAAAAACCCATAGCATTTTAAAAGAAAACAAAAGAACAACCAGGTTCTAACCAGGAGGTAAATAACCTTCCTCCAGTTTTTGGGTCCATAGGGGAAAAATGAGTAGTGCCAGAGGACAAAAGTTGAAATATCTATATGAGGCGCAAAAAAGTAAGGTGTGAGTAGGATGTATATAAAGAGAACACTTTGGGAAAGGGGAGAGGGAAGGAGAAGAAAAGGGAAAAAGAAGGAACAAGAGGAAGATATTACAAATATATTCAGTCACCACCCTCATTTCCAGGTTTCTGGGTGGCCTTGGCTCCAATTCATTCTTGTTGTGCTGTGTTGGAAGAAGTGAAACAAAGGGAAGTTTCCGTAGCAAGCAGGGTTATAAGTGGTTTTATGGAAAAACTAATTGGAAAGGAATATGAGGTTTTTAAGGATGCAGAGGGGTTTGGTCCTCTTTCAATCTCTGTTTGGGCTGTCAGGTCTAAACTTTATTCCTTTGAGGCGTGCCAAATAAAAAGGCTGCCTTAAGCCTGTTAGAACATTGCTTCTTAATGAAAGTGATTTTCCATCCCAAAAAAAAGGAAAAATAGAATCCACTATGTATTCACAAGTCATAACTCAAGAATGTCCGAAAACTACAACTAAACTCCTGGAGAGGATAGAAGAGGTTTGCATACTTGAGGTTGCTGAAGTGAGTTACCAATAAAAGAAGATAAACAGGGAGTTAATTTTCATTTGATAACATTTCAGTCGACATGCCAAACTGTCAACTAAGTCTAAATATCAAAGGGGGATTAAAATCTATCTTCCCTCAAGACACCAGTACAATGTCAACGTAGTGAAAATGTTTTACAAAACATGTTCTACATTTCTATGCCAACAAACATAATCAGATAAATTTTAAATTTGTTAGGCATTTGTCGAGCATATTACCCAACCTCCAAAGTCCATTTAATGGAAATAGTTAAGAGTGAAGCAGAGAGAAGGATGTGAAATCCTCCATCCTCATCCCTTCCTTGCGGAATAATCTCACCACACCAAATAACATCAGATTGCTAAACGGAATTAGTATATATCATTCTTTCAAGTTTCAACAATTTCATGAAACCTCTTGCCAATAAAACTAATGATAATAAAGGTAACGAAAAAGGAAAAAGGAACAACAATAGAATCCAGCTAAGAAAGCAGTAAGATAGGAAATTATACAAAATCTACCTCTTTGAGATCACCCTTTCGCGCACCAATGTGGAGTGAAGTCCATCCCCTGTCATCCGTATTGAATTCCTCATATCGGAATGAACGCCTTCTTGAAAGGCTTCGACTAATCGGGCTCCTCTGTTCCTGGGGCATGTTCTATTACCCTTCAATCAACTAGAACGCCCCCAATCGTAATAGTTCGTAAAACCACAAACCAGAAACTACAAACAGAACTCCCCTCAAATTCCACAACGGTAAGAATCAATCGTCCTCGAAAAATTATCGTTCGAAATATGGCTACGACAACAAACCCAGAACCCAAAAAGACACAAGAATTACATGATTCTCAGGAAGAAGACCAAAGCAAAATTAAAATTCTTTAAGTGGATTGATGGGAAAACCGAAAGCGAAGATAATTAGCGAGAAGCAGCAATAGAATGATGAGCCACGCAGTAGGGTGCAAAGGGATTCAATCCAGGGCCAAAGACACGAAGATTGAGAACGATTACGATGAATGTCATAAAGGGCTTAAAGATTGTAATCATAATTGATGCGAAACCCACTTGAACGATGATATGCGAGCGAAAATTTGAAGAACGAACAAATGGGGTTTCGGAGTCGGGGTAGAAAAATGCGTGAGGAGGGGATTTTTGGGTGTGATTAGAGAAATCCTGCTTTGAATCGGACGAAACTCAAGGGAAACATGACAGAAACGAGGAGCGGGTGCCCTGATTAGATTATCGAAACCCTAGAAGGAAAGGGAATTTTTTTTAGGCTCGAGAGAAATGGCAGAGCGAGGGAAACAAGAGAGAGCATCGAGTGGATTTCGGTTGGACTACTTGTAGTTCTACGAAAAGAAAAAAAGGAGACATTTTTAAAATGACAATTTCAATTTCACTGAGATTCTGTTGAAAAACAGAACGATCGTTAACCGTAAGTTTTACGTTAATTACAAATTTAGTCATTTGTGTTCTCTTGATTTAATTTCGAAACTTTTTATAAAAAAATTAATTATTACATCTCTACATTTTTTTAATTTTTGGTAAGGTATCTTGACTTATATTCTGAGACTTCTAAAGATATCAAATTATACAAGTACGGTAATTTTTACGCTAAATTTTAAAACGTCTTACAATTTTCCCATATTTTTCGTTTGAAAATTTGTTGAAAAAGATATGTATCCGATGTAGAGTTCAAACAAAAATAATATTAGAGTGAGATTTTTTTTTTCTTTTTTTTTTAAATTTGTAAGTTATGGTGGGGTTATTTAATTGTTGATTTTGTATTTTCATAGTGTGTTTGTTGAGTTTTTTGCATTTTATTTTTGTTAAAATTAATTATCGGAAATTGAATAGATGGCAAAAATAACAACACTTAACTAAGTTTATGGTTCAATTTGATCAAATACTTACAAGTTTAGGGATAAACAAATGATTTTTTCAATTATTTAAGGGTTAAATTATAAGTTTTGGTTCCTAAACTTTCAATTTTGTGTCTAACAAATCATAACCTTTAATTTTGTGTCAAATATATCTCTAAACTTTAAAAAAATTAATAGGATCCTGAACTTTAAATTTTATATCTAATAGCAACTTGACATTTTTAAAATCAATGGATTTACTAGACATAAAAGTGACTTTTTTTTTCAATAAGACCTTGAATTTTGAATATTGTGCCAAATAAGCTCGTAAATTTTTTAAAATATTTATTAAGTTAGTTGTTTATTAAATACAAAATTAAAAAATAAAGAACTATTTAGATAAAAAGCTTAAAGTTGAGAGAACTATTATATGTTTAAAGATCTATTAGACACAAAATTAAAAATTTAAAGATGCATTGATACATTTTAAAATATAAGGACCTATTAAATACAAATCTGAAGTTGAAAGAAAAAAACTTGTAATTAAATATTTTATATTATAGTATAAGTGAAAAATATATTAGATTCACTTATAATTATGGTATTTCTTCCAAAAGTTTAAGGATCTATTTTTCCGTTGGTCATTTTTAAAATTTTAATAGCTCAGTTTTTTTTTTCTATTTTTTCATTTCTCTCTCGTTGATGGTGATCAATTTTCAGTGAGACGGATAGAAAATAGGAAAAGAAAAAAAAATTGATGAATTAACTCATGTCCCAAGTCCATCTTGAACTTGAGTATGACACTCTTGAACCCAAACGGTTTCAATCTCTTGCTCTTAAAAAAACTTAGTTGTTGCATGTGGGAGTGTTTGAGCTAGCCAGAGAGGTACTTCTTTTAAATTCCTTTGAGTAATCATCTATTATTCTTCTATGAATAATTTTAAAACATGTTCCGAATTAATTTTAATGTCTGTTGAAAAAAAACTTGATTCTTTAACCACGAATAAATTCTGACGTGACATGTTTATTAGATTAACAAACAATAATTTAGTATCATATATATCAATTATGGGACAATAAATTAAGTTACATAAAGAGTAGGTTAACTAAATAAAATAAGCGTAGACAAATCAAAATATTAATATTATGTTTTTTATTCATCCAATTAGATGTTTTGATCTAATTAACCTATCAATTAGATTCAAGTTATAATGTTAACAAAAATAATATACCAGAAACAAAATCAAAAATCGTAAAAAATAACAAAAACTTTAGAGATGACAAAAGTACCTGTGGAACATGTAAATTATAAAACAGTCAGTATAACCACTATACTAAAGTGGTAGATTAATACAATCATGTATATGTCGTCTCTTCAAAGGACGACATAAGTAAAATAAACAATAGATGAAAATTTATGAAATAATTGCTCAGTGAATAGTAAACTACCTGAATCAAAGTCAAATTGTGATGACGAAAATAATATTTAAATTAAAATTTTTTAATTATAATAAAATCTTTGGCATCGGGAATTCAGTAAATTAGATATTTGAAAATATAGCTATTAAAAAAAAAGGCGTTTTAGCAAGAAATAAAAAAAGTCATAGGGGTGGACCAAGTAAATTAAAGAGTGCCAAAATTTTCAACGATTCCTTTCCTTCTTAAAGAAGTAAGCCGGAAAAGGTCCGAGAACCGGAAGGGGCCGTTCCTGAACTACAAATTTCCACCATTGAATTTCTTCTCCGAGGCCGGCGATGTCACCGTCATCCACCGTTCTCCGGTGAAGTAGAAGCCGAAACTCTGCGATGTTGTCAAGCATGAGCTCGAGCGCGATGGCGGCTACGGCTCAGCAACACCAGTGGAGCGAGGAGGAGACGAGGGAGTTCATCCGGATTCGCGCCGACCTGGAGAGGGACCTGACGGCGGTCTCCACTGGAGAAGGTCCGGCGACGAAGAAGAAGACATTGTGGGAGATGGCGAGTGCGAGGATGAGAGAGAGAGGGTTTTGGAGGACCGCCGATCAGTGCAAATGCAAGTGGAAGAACCTCCTCAGCCGCTACAAGGTTGGTCCTATTTTGATTCGGTATCATTGATTTGAAATTTTTCGAATCTGTAATTTGAGTTTGTTTTCCGTTATGTTTCGAATCTGTAATCTCCGTTATACTTGCTTTGATCTTTCGATTACTAAGGCTTTCGATGGAGGGAGGTCCAAATTTGTCTATTTCCACTTTCAGGTTCCTAAAGTTAAATCTGCGAAAGCCAGTAATTGAAATGTAGATATCGATGGAGTCTCGAAAAATACGGGCAAGAAAATGACAGGATAATGTATTGTCTTTATTTAAGGATTAAGTTATAAATTTAGCTCTAAAATTTTGATCTTGGGTTTATTTAGTCCTAAACTTTGAGAACTTTCAACTAAACTTGCACATTATGTGACATTTTCTCTTTTACTAAGCTTTCGTTGAGAAACATGAAAGAATATATAAGGAGTGAATAAAAAACTAAGCCATACAAAAGGAGCTGAAGCCCCCAATTAAGCGGAAACGGACATCTCAGAATAACCCCTTAGTGGTAGTTATAAAAGAGTCAAGATACAGATGCCTATAAAGAAGTATTAAACCTGACAACTTCTCAAACCTCTCCTCATGACCTTTCTCTACCTCTAAAAATTTTTGTCATTCCTCTCGAGTCAAATACCCCACAACATCGCAAAAAGCTCCTCTTCCCTTCTCATAGAAAGGAGGATTCGGAAGAAGCTCCTCCATCATGGAACTGCAATCCTTATTTCGCGCCCAATAGATCCCGACGACCCAAGGCTCCCATTCCAAAGAGCTTGAGCAAACTTGCAGCTCCAAGGATATGGTCAAGATCCTCCCACGCTTGTTTGAGACCATACAATTATCAAACAAACTTGGACTAATTTGAGATCGCATTTGATAAATGACATAAAAAGGAGCAATTAAACAAAATAGAGTGACACAATCTATATAAGGATTCGACATATATTACACGTGTCATTTTATTTTATCTATCTATCCACCATTTTTATGCCACCTATCTACCCTGTCATCATTTAGTTCACATTACAAGGATAATACAACATCGCATGGATGTACCGTCCTTGAAACTTTTTAAAGTTTAGGGACCAAATAGATACACCCATCAAATTCATCAAATTCAAGGACTAAATTTATGATTTAAACTATGGTTTCTTCATAAATTGAACTTCAAAAGAAACTAACTTTGAGAGTTGCCTCCCTATTTACCTTACTTCCGAATGGAACAAAAGAACTATCTGTTGACTTCTTGGAAAGAGACATCACTGTACTTCATTTTTTTGGCATATGCTTTGTCAAATTCCAGTGTTATTCTCCTCCATCTTTTTGCTTGGTTTATTTCCCCAGGAACCTAACTGATAAGAAAACTGTCAGCTGTTCCTCCTCTAGAATATAGAATGTCAACCCGTTTCTTAGCTTTCTCTTGTAAACCTTTCTTGCACAATCTTTTGGTTACCAATGAATGGTTGCACTTTTAATCATAACGAATGGATTCTGAAGATTCCTCTTTATGCATTTACATGATGTCTTATGTATAGTTAGAAACAGTTATGTCTGAGATGGATCATCTCCTTATTCATTCTTCTTGTTCGTCTTTGATTTGTGTGAAATCTGTAACTTTTATTTGGATAAGTAACAATTTGTCCCTACAACTAAACATGCAAGTGGAGAAAAGTAAACAAGAAACATCCGCTTGCTCTTTGAAAAGCCAAAGGAGATTCCAAAAGGTTTTTTTTTTTTTTTTGGTGCTAAGTTGAAGTTTGAGCTCTGCTCCCCTATACCCAGGGCACTCGCGCCTGTCTCAAGGTCTGGACCCGAGAGACATCAAGCATTTTTGGTATTAAGTTTACTGAAAGGTTCGAACTTGAGATCGCTAAGCCAATATGACTAATTGACCCCAAAACCTTGTCAACTGGATTGCGATAGAAGATTGCAATAGGTTCTTTAGTTGGCATTTAAAAGGAATGGAACTATCAGAAAGAGACTATCAAAAGAGTTTCATCTACATTATCTTAGCTCCTTACCTCAATGAAGGAAAAGCCAAGAGAGATTTCATAAGGCCCTCTGGTTGACATTTAGGCAATTTTTGTTCTCATGCGTCGTTCTGGACAGAGACCCAAGCGCAAACTATAGCCAAAGACTTACATTATCTTAGCTCCCCAATGAATGTGTGGCCAGCAAGAAGTTGAAGGAGATAACCTGAGGGTTCCATGGCCTACGCAACTAAAAATAAAAAACTTTGAATTACTTATCCTTATCCACCAAAATTAGGAAGAAAATTGACAAGTAAAGCAGTGATGTTCTTATCTTTTCCCATATTTCTGATAAAGATTGAGTCATTCATTGGAGAATTTTGGTGGGGGGAGTTGGAATAATGTATCTCGAATCTGTGTCCAATAGTTATTAAGAGACATAGATTTTGAATTTTCATCTAGGAGTTATAAGGGCAATCACATTATAGCAGGTATATTCAACAATTTTTCCATTCGTCGAGGGTAAAAGTTTCTTTTATAAGTCTTGTTGCAAGTGTTAAAAAGAGGAAACGTCTAGTAGCTTCCTATATATATATATATATATAGTATTTCTCTTTCATTAATATTTACATTCATGTTAAGATTCATTTCATGTAATTCAGACTGCGTTCATCATTTAATTCCAGTCGTAAATGAGACTGGAATTAGCTAGACTTGTCAAACCCAACTTTGGCTCGAAAGGTTAATAAGTCATGGTCATCCCTAGAAGTTGAGGCAATTATTGACAGTACCTGTATTGTTTTTCATATGTTTCAAATGTTGCAACGTTTGTACAGGGGAAAGAGACATCCCATAAAGACTTTGGCTGGCAATGTCCATTTTTTGAGGAAATCCATGCAGTATTTGCTGAAAGGGGGAAAGCTATGCAGCGATTGCTCCTTGAACCTGAAGCCGGTTCTATGATGACGAAGAAAAGAGCGAGGGAGAGAAGTTTAGACGAAGGATATTCTGACCTCAAAGAACACAATGAAGACGAAAGTGAGGAGGAGATGGCCACTCAAAGCCACTCACAGAAGAAAAAGGCTATAAGAACTCTTCCAGCAAAGTCTTCAAGAGCAACTGATTCTAAAAGTTCTAGTAGCTCCACTAGTAATGAAATTCTTGAGATGCTGAAGGGCTACTTTCAGTGGCAGCAGAGGATGGAGCTGGAATGGAGGGAAATACTCGAGATACATTACAACAAACGACGATTGTTCGAGCAGGAATGGCGTGATTCGATGGAGAAGCTCGAGAGGGAGAGGTTAATGGCCGAGCAAGCTTGGAGGGAAAGAGAAGAAGAGAGAAGGAAAAGGCAAGATATCCGAGCTGAAGGAATGGATGCCCTCTTAAAAACCCTTTTAAACAAGCTTGAACGTGGAAATAATCTATGAGATAATGAAACAGTTGAAGCAGTTGGAGCAATACTATTTTTTAAAGAATAGTACATATTAAAAAAAAAAAAAAAAAATTCAGGTTTCTTTTTCTTTGGGTTGGCAGCAAGAGTACATTTGCAATTTTTTACGAATGTCTTCAGTCTGCCAATTGTGTATGCTCACCGAGTTGCTCATTTTTTCTACCAGAAATTTACAGTGCCTTTTGTCCATGTTTATGGAATCAAGCCATTGGAAGAAAAATTTAATTGTTATGGGCATTTTCTAGTTTACAACTTTATTATCTTCATGAAGGGAGCTTGCCATTTCTACTTCTGCTCTCTTTTTTCTTGCCAATTAATTTTTTTAGGTTAAAAAATGCATTTGTTGTCTGAATTTTTATTGAAGTAATAATGTAGTTCATGAACTTGCTTTATAACAATTTAGTCACTGCCACCCACTTTTAACAATTTAACTTGTAACAGTAATTTAACTTGTAACTGTAAAAAATTTAATCAAAATGAATTGATTTTTAACCTACAAAGATTTGACTACATTGTTACAGCAATGAAAGTACAAGGATTAAATTATTATAAACAAAAATTCAAGGATTAAATTGCTATTCACGATTAAAAGTGTTTTTTAACCTTTTTTGCCACAAATCTCTAGGAGGCTTCGCCACCTCAAGGTCGGTTTCGAAAGACAGTTCTCTACTACTACCAGCTCTTTTTGCAATGCAACTTCTCTATTTACACACAAGTTGCACGTATTTACTAAATTGGTTAAATTATAACATTTTTATGATGCTGCAAAGGCACACCAAGCATTGTTAGTTCCTGTTTTCAAGCTACAATTCCATGACTCAATACTCATTATGAATGACTAAGGGGTGAAAGGGCAATTGAACTTTTAATGGGTGATGCAAAGATAGTTCTGTAATGGTTTATCTTCTCTAACCTTTTATGGAGAAAAAAGAAGAAGCCATTTCTTGGGATTCCATATTTCCAAATGCACATAGAAAACTATAATGAGAATCTGGAATAAATATTAGAGTCTAGTTTATTTTACAAGTGACAGAATGACTCATCATTTTTACCCTTACAAGGAGAGGACTAGTACATTTTAAGAACAAGAAAGATGAAGACAATAAGAGCAACTTTCATTGATCTGAACAAGTAGAGAACTTCGAAATGCCTTCCTTCAATATACCGACGCACTTACTTCGACGTGCAAGAAGATTCAGCCAGATTCTGCTGGAGGCTTTTCCTTTGGATGTTTGGAGGCATAGTGATCACCCAATTGGTTATGATTTGCTAGTTGTACCTGAGGTAAGAAATAGATGATCTCAATGCATGGTCGAGGGGGGAAATATGAAAAATAATTTCGAGTACTGAAAGCAAGGAAAAATCGTTCAGATCATCACAATGCACAATGCATAAAACTAGGAAACAATGAAACGTCAAAATAGAGGAAACGGATCTTTACTTTCCATCCATTCTTCCACTCTATTCTATGTCTAATTCAATATTTAGTCTCTTTGACTGTATGGTTTCGACCCGCACGCCAGTATATTCCATTTCTTCCCAAGAAAAATATCAATTCACAAAGTCCTACAAGAAAAATGAGAAACATGGATTCTAGTATGTATTGTGTATGAAGAGCATGATACGGAGAAGAATGAAAAATTGGGTATTCCATTACTTCTCAGGAAAAAGATCAGTTCACAAAAGCCTACAATTCCATTTCTTCCAAGAAAAAGATCAATCCACTTGCTAAACATTTAATTTGTAGAGAAATGATTAGCATCCAAGAAAATCCATCTCAAAGTAAAGATTTGAACTGAACAGACAAATTAGGAATCCAAAGATGGAAAAGAAAAGAGAAATCAATCTCGACTTGTGGATTTGGATGTAGAATATCAAGTTCTTTTATCCCAATAATCATAAGCTTAAGCACATTTCAACTAATCTCGCACAATAAACACAACCTTATACTATATTTAGTATGCTAAGCCACCATGATTTAAGCTCGAAACAAATTATTATTCTAAATTTTACGGTTTGAGCACTTTCCACTAAGAAACCCACGATGATTAGTAAAATAACAACTTCCACCACCAGTCCTACACCAAATCCTTTAACAAATGATCCACCAAAATGCTTTGGTTTTTTTATTTAGAGACCCCAAATTGATCAAACTCTAACAATTTCTTATCAATTGAGACCAATACAACAGCAATATACAGTCCATCATAACCTAGAACAGAAAACAAGCAGGAAAAAGGAGAATTTCTTCGCCGGATATGAAATTTCTCAGTTTGATCGGCAACATAAGATTAAGAAGTTATGATCGAGATTGGAAGAAACGAAAGAACACTCAAATCCAATCGAATCATATGATAGCAAAAAAAGATTAAAGAAACAAACAAGAACCTTGCAAATAGGGCAGATGACTTTAAGGGCAACCGCTCTGGCCTCGAGTTGTGAGCCTTTGGGCTTCTGATTCTTCTCCGCATTTCGTTTTTGAGCTTCGATCTTCTGTTTTCCTCGGGTCATCTTCTTCGTCCAAGATTTCGAGAAGGAGAAGCAGACGATCCGATTTGGGAAATTCTGATCACAAAAAATGGCCAATTTTATTTTATCAGAAATAAATATTGAATTGAAAACCAGGTTGACCAGAAACGAAAAGACAAAACTATCCCTTCATGTTCTTTCTTCTTCAGTGAGATTTTCAGTAACATAATTCTTGTTTTCGTCAATTTACTTTTCTATAAACAAAGATGATATATGGTGAAAATGTTGAAATATCAAAAAAGTTGTATATGTAAAAAATGTATGTATAGAAAAAGCGAAATTTAGAGATGGGATTTTATTTAAAAATTCATTAAAAATAAGCTCTGTTTTTTTTTTTTGGCACAACCAATGGTGTGAATTTGAACTTTCGATCGGAGTACATTTTTTAACCATTAAGATATGAGTTGAATAGATCGCGCAATAAAGTTTTGACATCGTATTCATCGGATTCCAATAAAAAATGAAGGTTTTTTTTTTTTTGGTAAAATTAATGTTTTGAGAGATTTATTTAATAATTAATCTTATGCATGGGTTCGTCCAAGCTTTTGATTGGATGCGATAGCAAAAGCAAGTAGTGTTAACACAACGCTAAAACTCCATGTGGGAACATAAACGTACATCGGAATCAATTAATAATGGTCATAAGAAAAATGGCATTAACAATTTAACAAGCCCTTGCAACTTGCCTCGACACTAGGATTGAAGACGTACGCCTTTGATAGAAAGCTCCAACATTGATGAATCCTTGTGTGAGTTATTAAAGGCTCTGTGTGCGAATTTGACTGGTGTGAATGAATTGGAATGAAAATTAATTTGAATTAGAATGTTATTCGTTTGATGCTGTTTACCATAAAATTTCTAGAATAAGAATTAAGAATTATTGGATGTTGTTTATTAAAACTGTAATCAGAATCAAATATATATACCTCTTTCTTATTTCTAACTAATTATAAATATATTATTGTGCTAATTTTTTTAATTGAAATATTAATAAATATTAATTTATTTTAATAATAATAATTATTGATAGTAATTTTTATAACAATTAGTTTAATATTAATAAATAATGAATAATTAAAATAAAATTCAATCAATTAAAATATTTTTTTATTTTAACACTCATCATTTAATATAAAATATTATTAAATTTTATTATTCTAATATTTAATAATAATGAATTATATTCAGAAAGTTTATTGATATTAATTAATAATATCAAAGTAAAATTTGGAAATTAAAAATTTTAATATAAATTTATAATATTTTATAATAAAATCATATCAACTAATAAAAGTGATATAAATTTTTATTAGAAGAAAAATTATTAATAGTGTAAATGAAAAATAAATAATTAATTAAAAATGTTATTGGTCTCATTGACACAACAAAGATAAATGGTAAAAGTAATAAAATAACTGCAATAAATGCGTGAGATTCACAAAATAAAGAATGAGAATGAGATTAACGAGGGTATTGAAGAGAAATGAGATTGTCAGATTACAAAGTTTGAGGTGAATCTCACAATTTAATTCAATTCCAACGATTTCAATTTGGTAAAGGAAATGAAAAAATTGAATGAAGGTAACAAAACCATCACTTGACTATTACTTGGATTCCTACTCTCACCTCAAAATTCTCCAAAAAAAAAAAAAAGAGAAAAAAAAAGCTTTAATTAGAACTAAAAGATATAAAAATGTAATTTATCAAATCGTTTTTATTCAGAAATAAATTAGTTCTTGATGTGGAGGACTGGCATTTTGTCCCTATTTTGCCCCACATGACTGACATGACAAATGGGTTTTATTTATAATGTGATAACAGTTTTGAAAGAGAAGACTGAATAAATTTTGCCTATGTTGCCCGAGTGAACATAATTCTTTAAAAAATAATTGTTAATACAATAATTATGTATGCTTGTAATAAATAAGTGAGCTCTTGGCACATAACTTAATGAATAAAATACCTATTACATTTTATAAGTCGAAGATTCGATCCTCACTCTTGTATTTGTTGAACTCGAGAAAAAAAAATGAAATATTGTAATTGGGTTCACATCAAGAAGCAAACCTTAGGTGAAGCTTTGGGCTCTTCGATCGGAATCGAAGTGTTACAAACTGGCAATTGCTTGAGACAAGTGACTCTGGATATATCAAAAAGGCCCTATTTAATTAGTATCATTCAAAATGACAATGGATATCATCAAAAGTGGCACCCAATAATGCTTCCTTTTACTACTTCATACAAGCTTGTAGCAAAACACAATGATAAAATTCATTTTGATCCTCACAATGTTAATATTACACTCTTCTAAAGAATTAGGTCTGCCATTTACACCTACAACCATCCAGATGCTTAGAATTCAATTTACCAAGAAAAATAGAAACTTTAATCTTTGAAGAATGCTGTGTAGTGTACATAATTTCGACCTAAAAATAAATAAATGAATAAATAAAACCAGAAATCATCGGCATTGTGGGCTTTATAGAGAGAGAGAGAGAGAGGATTGGCAACAGAAACAAAAGCTAGACTACAAGACTTGTTCTTGTACAGAAACAGTCACAATATAATGTGTGGATCCATTAAATAAAATCACACTTTACAAAGAAACAAAAAGGAAAGTGATGGACAAGAGCAAATTGATTTGTACAGTTGCTCATATTCAATCAATACCGAGAAAATAAGGATAGAAGGAAGGAAGGAATTACAATTGAGGCAAAAGTGGAAATTACAAGTGGAAATTTCTCTCACTTGGGAGTACGCAAGAATCATGCACAGTAAAACTTCAGTAAATAGTAAAAGGAACCATGGGGATACCATTAAGAATTTGATGAAACTACTCATAAGAGAGTCACAGATGGATGCCAATGGGAGAGAGCAGCTTCCAATTATCTAAAGAATTGCAGGCAGAATACAAGTGAAATCGAGAGAGCTGACCTCATAGGGATTCTTTCTCCATGCCCGGAAGTTGGTATTATTTCTCTGAGAAAATAGCAGTATGAAACAAACTCCACCATGCTTTGTGCTTCTCAAAAAATTGCTGTTAATCAGAATTGGAATCATCAAAGTCACTTGGGCATGGCGTCATAACCTCGGATTCAAAGAACTGGACTACTCGATGCATGGTTGGCCGGTCATCTGGACTAGAAGAAACACACTGAATAGCAAGCCTGAGCAATGCGTCAAGAGTTTCTGTCTGCACTCCTTCACATTGTGAATCAACTATTTCTCGTTGCCTATTCTCTGTGATGAGAAAATTTAGCTGCAATAAAAGAGAGATGGATCAGTGAAGATGTGAGTTTCTACCCGAACCGCCTCTGTGAAAGAAACCTTGTATTGTTACTTTGTTCAGACTCTTTTTTGTTTGGTTCTTTTCTTTTTTCTCTCACCCCTTCGGGAGTTTGTATCTTGAACCTTTTTTCCTTTTCATATATCAATGAAAAGTTGTTTCTTGTTAATAAAAAGAACCCCTTCTACCACATGGAACAATAAATTTTGTTGGCTCTGCTTTCTTTCTTACACTAGGCTCGTCACTCGTGAACCCTCAAGCCTCTGAGCATGTTCTCTCTGGTCGTTTGATTACTCATTCTAAAAAAAATAAATAATCGCTAACGAGGTCAAAGTTTTCTCTAAGTTGTTTACTAGGAGGAGGATTAACATCATGACTTCATTCAAAGGTGTTCTGCGTTCTGGTCCTTAGTATGTGTTCTGTTGAGAGGGCATTGAAAGATTAAGATTACAGAGGTGTTAATTTAAGAAAAATTAGGATAGATTTCTAGAGACTTTAGGCCTTCAATTTTCTCCAAGCAAAGGTTGTCAGGGATATGATGGAGGATGTGCCCGTCCACCCTCTCTTTTGTAACATAGGACTACTTATTTGGCAGACAGATTTCATCATATATGGTTAGGGACGATTGTTCACCTCAATGGCTCTCTTTGGGTGTCATCTACAATTTCCTTTTTAACCTTTTCTTTTAAATATTATTCTTGCCTTAGGCTCCTTAGTTCTTAGTTTTTTTAATGCCTCGGGCTTTTGTACTTCCATTTATCCTAATGAAGTCCGGTTTTCCATTTAAAAAGGAAAAAATTTGAGGCTTCACAATTAACCTAATGATGCAGAAAAAATAATCAACTAAAAAGGTAAAATGGTAAATAGAGGAATTTTTCATTTAATTCTTAGTTCGTTTTAAAAAAAAAATCTTAATTCAGGAGTTCTGTTTTTAAAATTTGTGTGTCTCTAGAGTCTTATATTTTTTATTTTAATTAGATATCCTAATTTTTCATTTGTCACGACCCAAGTCTCTGTTCGTTATCTTTCCTAGATAAGTAGGCATGCATTTAAATACAACTGCTGTACATTTTTCCAGCAATCATAACCAAGATACCGCTACTTTAATTGGTCTTCCCGTGGATATTTTATACGTTTAGGCTTGTTGATTCAAGTCTAAAACCCTAGTTACATTAGATTCCACAATTTTCTCCTTCGGTATTATCTCAACTTTCCTACACTTTTCCTTGCAAACAGTAGGCCGGAATCTGATTTCAAATGCTGATAGCTCTGAAACCCTTTTAGAAGCCCCTCTCTCATATTGGAACCCCAAAACTGATCCCGTGAAAATTCCGAACCTCTTTCTGATATCATACAATAAGATGAAAATACGGCAATATTTCTAGTAGGGAGGGAATTGCAATAAGATAAAAGAGCTATTCACTCAAGGACAAGGCTTCCACATAGTAAGAACAATTTGAAATACAGAATTCAAGCGAGGATGGATAAGGCTATGAACTTCACAAGTTCAATCAAGGACAGATTTGAGGTTTGCTAAGTCAGCATAGCCTACAATATCAGTCAGAAAAATTAATATGCAAGAGATACTCAAAGTATGAATTTTCGTCTTAGTGCCACTTGATTTCATGCCACATGCTGAGGAAAAGTTAGTTATTACTGGATTATGAAAGTTATTTCAGAAAGGAAATAGAGTTTAAGAGTAGATCACTATGGAGGAAAGTGCATACCCAGCCAACAATGTTCAGGCCTTTCTCAATAAATGATGCATCTGTAGGTCTTTTTCCGCTCAGTACTTCAAGTACCAGCACTCCGAAACTATATACATCGGTCTTTTCAGTTGCTCTACCACTTTGCATATATTCTGTCATATCAGATTTACAGTACTGAGAGATTTTTTTTTTTTTTTTTTTCTGATAAGAAACATCATAGTACTAAGAGATTGCAATATTAAGAATAATGACAGTCTGGGCTAAACAAAAAGAAAAGCACAAAACAGAAAGGAGCCCACAAAACTTACAACATACGGCTTCACTTGTTAAGAAAAGAAAAATAAAGGATAATTATAAATATGTTCTACTGTAAGTTCTGAAGGAGACCATTAATATTAGTGCAAATTCATCCAAGCAACAAATTGGTGATCAGGAATCACTGATCGTGCCATCGTAGATATGGAAGAAAACCATTATATTACAGAACTCTAAACATGATTTGAAGGTCAAAAGATTGATTAGAGATGCAGCAGCAATTGGTAATCATCAGTTCATCATAAAAGAAAATTACTTCCTACACTCCCAAGAAATTCTAAAGACTGCTTACCGGGGGCCAAATAACCAAATGTTCCGGCAACAATGGTTGTAATGTGAGATTTATCATCATCCAGAAGCTTGGCAAGTCCAAAGTCAGAAACTCGAGCATCCAGATTGCCATCAAGTAAAATGTTGCTTGACTTTATATCTCGATGTATGATTCTGGGTGAACAATCATGATGCAGATAGGCAAGCCCTTTTGCTGCTCCCAATATAATATTCAAGCGTGTATCCCAATCTAATTGCTCAGATCTTTCTGTAAGGTGTTATATGCATGAGTTATATTTAAATGACATACAGCGGACTAAGACAACAGTTTTAATGTAAGTAGACTAGGATACCCAACATGCAATATTTAAACTGAAGTGCAAAAATCTACTTAATTTCAAGAATATATCATGTAAATTAAATGACAAATGCACAGTTAGCGTAATGTGCCTCTTCTAAAGAAAATATGATGACGTGAGGAAGAGAATCTCACCATGAAGGGCCTCATCAAGGCTACCCCCAGATAGGTAATCATAAATCAACAGTTTTGATGTGGGAGAGTTGCAATATCCTCGCAAATTAACAAGGTACCGATGCTTTAAACTTCCAAGAATTTCAAGTTCCCTCTCAAAACAATGATCAAACCCCTCATTTATCTTTACAATATTTTTCAAAGCAAAAACATTGCCATCATCCATTGCAAGCCTGTAAACTGTTCCAAAACCCCCAGAACCAATTATGTGTTCCTCATTCAAGGTTTCCAACTTCTTCATGATGTCTTTTGAAGAGTATGGTAAGTCTCCATGAAACATCACAATGGATGCACCTGTAGAAGTCAGTCGATGGTCATAGAGATGCTAAAACCTTGAAACTATGAATTAAGTATCTACATAAACAACAAGATACAAGAAGACTGCAAATAGATAACTCAGATAAAAACCATGACATTGTAAAGAACAGCACCTCCACCGACATCCTTTGCAAGACCTTTCTTGTCATTTTTGCCAAATCTTTTATAAAGAAAGCAACCCCAGAAACACATAAGAGCAACAAGTAGTAGTGCCCCCACTGTAGCTGATGCACTGATGAGCAGCCGGCCAGAGTACTTCCTCCTTATTTGATTTTGGCCTGTAGAAAAAGGAAAAGGGGATGACTATGAACTTAACAACATCAGCTATTAACAAAATCATCTAGTGAATTTATGGAGCTCTCATATGTAACATATTTAAGAAGAGAAAATTACAGGCAGAATATCCACTAAAGAATAAAAAAGAAAAGATGCATCATATGGAAATTAAATGATTCACAATCATGTTTACAACCCAAATGACCAACTATCATAATGATATCAATTATCACCTGAGCTCGGGGACTCGGAATTTGTTCCAGATCCTGTGTTATTTTCTTTGCAAGTGACACTGACTTGTTTCCCGCACAAGCCCCGATTTCCAACAAAGCTGCAAATCAGTGTACTTTCTAATAAAATTGCTATTGCATGTGCAAGTTAAGTCGTTATTGTTAAGAGAATTAAAACAGGAACAGGCAATGCAACAATGCTCGAACAAGCCAAGAAGTGCGCACGTAAAAGTTTTCTCATAATTAATGCCTAGAACACAGGTTTTGAATATGAGATACTTACGAAGTCTCTGAAAACTTGGAAAGAACACCATCAGAAGGTACTGGTCCAATTAAAAAATTTGATGACACATTGCTGTACAAGAATACATGTCACACATAAGGTTGTGTCACTAAATGGAAAATTAAATATTTTTGGAAGTACATATTAATCAAACGCTATAACAAACATTAAAATGTAAGGCTACTTACAGAATAGCGAGCTTATCCAAATTCCCAAGGGACGTTGGGATATTTCCACTAAGTGAGTTGCTAGAAACGTCTCTACAATATCAGGAAAAAAATATACAGTCATTTTATCAAGCAGAAGGCCAGATTCTCATTGCTTCAATGTCTTAGTTTTTCCGGGTGAAACAATTCTCAATTTCATTTTTAATTTAACGATACAGTTGTTGTAAAGTTGCACAAAGTTCTTGGATAACTTTATTTCTAACGAGTTTTAAACTAGCAATTTCTTTGACATATGATAATTGTACATATTCTTGAAAAGTCTAGCCAGTACACCAGGCCATATTATTGGAGTTCGTCTAATAATTTTAACATGTCCATAATCCGTATGTGTTGATGGCAAATTCTGTATAGAGAACAGTTTTCTTAATCAAACATCATATTGTATAGCAGAAGGTAACCTTAACTATAGTCTTGCACAATAATGATCAAACCAATTGAAATTAGGGTCATCAAAACACCCAAACATCAATTCTTAGTTTTGGAGAATTTCTATTAGTACTTCCGGATTAGGAAATTGCAACGTCCATGCTCCTTAAACTAAACAAAACTTGAAATGTCATAGAAACATGAGATAAGAAACTTACAATATTTCCAACTCAGAGAGGTTTCCCAGTTCAATGGGAATCACTCCGCTTAGGTAGTTTCTTTGCAAGAACCTGTGGCCGACAGATGAACAATTACCTAAAATATTCTGAGAACATGGCAACATTGACCAAAAAAACGGGCAGATGGGAAAAAGTGAAAACTGCAATCGAGTGATAGTATGAGTTGAAGCTGAATAACTGACTCTAGTCTTGGCTGTTCAAGTCCTTATTAAGATAGGATTCTTTGAAGTCCATCCTTGTCTACTTTGTATATTGTCTTCTGAATTTTATTTGATAGTTTCATGGTTTTTTTACCCTTACCTCTTGGGTTTTCGCCCTCTTTAAATAAATTATCCATCATAAAGTCTAAACTTCTGATCACGGAAAAGAAGCATTAATGGAAGAAAAAGGCTCCAAATCTGGAACCCACCAACATAAGTGGTGTCATTAAAGAAATAAAACAAAATGGTATATACATTTTTCATATTTATTTTTTTGAAAAGGGTATAACATGTACTCAAAATGTTACAACATTTAAACGTGAAAGGGGCAACTTGTAGTTTCATTTTCACATTTAAGTGGATGTTCCAGGTGGGAAAAAAGATAATAATAACTTTACATCCGGTGAACGACATTTAAATTCAAAGGAGGAAAATAAAGAAACAGGCACATACATTCCCTGCAACTGTGAGCAATTTCCCAGTTCTGATGGTATTGTTCCATATAAATTGTTGTCAGAAAGAGCTCTGAAATAATCCTACAGATTATTAGCCATTCATATGCAAGCTTTTGGAAATATAAATATATATATATATATTTAAGAAATCCTCATAAAACGTACAGGGTCTTCAATTGGTCTAGCTTCCCAAGTTCAGGTGCAATGAACCCACTCAGTTTGTGACTTGCAAGTTTCCTGGATATTGAACAAAAAGATGAGAACAATGATGACAAATGCACAGATGTTTCCTTCTAAGGCAACACAAATGCCAAAGATATGATATTAAAATAAATTTTAATAATCAGAGTTCAAAATTTTGCCATTTGTTTCGTACGAAAAGTATATTTCTCATGGAAGCAAGAGTAATTGACAATGAGTTCAAAACTTAAACTAAGTTTTCCGGCCAGGCCAAGCTCTTTTATAGCATCAAGAGCCAAAATTTAAATCATGATAGTGTCGCCTAACTGGAAAAAGAAATTCAACAATGTAATAAAATCATGATTCTTCAAGCTTAATATACAAAATAATTTGTGCACATTAAACAAATTCACAAACAGTTAAGTTGCACGATTTTAGCCTCTGTAACCCTGCAACTCTCTGTTTTTTGCCAAGAAACTGGAAAAATATTACTACAAACAGGAAAACATAAAAAATGTGAAAGAAGGGGCGAGGGGGCAGAGGCATTTTCCCAAGCTGAACCAGGGCTTATAAAATTCCCTCCAGTTATGATTAACCATGAAAGTTGGAAGATAAAAAATTCCCTACTTCGGTACTAGCTTGAGGTTATATAATACTCTGTAAAGTATCAAAGAAGTTTAAAAGACAAAAAAGACTAAATTCCCTATGATAATCTTCAAAAAGCCTCCTGTTTCTTTTCAACCACAAAGCATCGTATCAAACTTTAGACCTTCATAGAGAAGTTTTTTCAAAAATGGTTTTACTCCTACTTCAACCCATCTATATAGACAAAGATGCCATTTTGCAACTCACAGTGATATTACTCTCTTTGTTTTTGAATCGCACACCACTCCCGTCCAGTTACATGGGTTTGGATCCTCTGGTCTCCACTGAAAGATGACCCCATCAGAACTGGCAACTGCCATCTTAAAGCTTAGAAGTGCCTCACCTATAGATCAAATATAAGATTACGTGAGACCAATATGAAGTATAAAATAGGAAGAGAATTAAATAAAATGAAGTATGCATTGTTTTTACTCATAGGGTGAGAGGGAAATGTAAGATCATATTCATAGCACAAGTGTTCATATTTTATCTACATTTAAATTTTTTGAGTAAAATGTAAATTCAACGATACCTGATAATTCCAAATTTTTTTGATGATGTCAAACAAACCAAGTAACAAAGAAGTGAAAAAAAGTAAGAAATCGGTACACCGCCAACAGAAAACAAATACCATATACATATAGAGGGGGGGCATAGTTAATCCTACAACTTATGTACAGAAGTTGAATTAATAAGATTGTTGGGTGGGTGACAAACCCCTGCATCTTTTATTTCCTTGCTTATACCACCTTTTTAATATGAGGTTGCATACAGTGGCCTTTGTTGTTGTGTGGAGTCATGGCCCATGGGGGAATTCTCCTTCTATTTTTTGGGTCTCTTTTGGTTTTCACGGATAGGGAACCGCTGGAGGTTGCTGTTTTGTTTTGCTTTTATTATTAGGAGACGTTCGCTTCTTTCAGGGAGGAAGGACCTTCATGTCTGGTCCCCTAGCCCGTCATTGGGTTTCTCTTGTACTTGTTTTTTCACTGTGTTGAGCGTTCCCTCGCTTCCCCTAATGCTTCGCTGTTTGCCTCACTCTTGAAGGTAAAAATTTTGAAAAATATCAAGTTCTTTACCTAACAGGTTTCGCATAGCAGAAATTTAATACCTTGGACCGTATTCAGAGATGTTCTTCCTTCTTGTTGGGTCCTTATTGGTGTGTTGCTTGCAAAAGTGCTTCCGAAGACCTTGACCATATTCTGTGAGTTGCTAGTTCGTCCAATTTATTTGGTGTCGGTTCTTGGAGGCTCTTGAGGTTTCCTTAGCTCGTAAGGAGTGTAGGGCGATGATGAAGGAGGTGTTGTTGTTTCATCCTTTTAACTCGGTTGTGGTAGGCTTGTTTTTGGCTATTTTATGGCATATTTGATTGGAGAGGAACAATAGAATTCTTAAGGGGGTTGAGAGGTCTTGGGAGGAGATTTGGGAGATTGTTAGAGTGGGTATCAATTTCAAAGGCTTTTTGTAATTAATTATAAGTGAGATGTTATTCTTTTGGATTGCTTCTTCCAGGCTGGTCCATTTTTGTCGGGCTTGTTTTTTTTGTATGTCCCTTGTATATTCTTTCAGTTTATCTCAATGAATACTCGGTTTCTTAAAAAAACAATAAATACCCAAACTTGTACAAATGAAAAAATTACCATCAGTGGTGAGGCCAATGCTTTTGTTCATTGCCATACAAAGAAGTAGAACGCGAAGGACCAACAAGCCAGAGAATTTGACCAGACTGATGCCCATGGTGGCTCTGGTCAAGGGTCCAATGGCTACTATAAATCATCTGACAGAACAAGCGTTGTAATGGTTTCCTCGGACATATGGCACTTTGGTTGGAGATGAACTGTTCCAAACATAGAAATATATAGACCAATACATATTAAATTTATTATTCAAAAAGAAAACAAGAGATATAAAGAGAGGATGAAGAAGAAGGAAATGATGTCCTGAACGACGTACGTAGCAATTTACAATCATGGAAAAGCTACCCTCATATAAGTAATGATGATATAAATATCAGTGGCTGAAAGAAATATTCTTACTCTTACTCTAGTTAGATCAACTAAACAATAACAGAAAGCTACATTAGTAACTAGAGGAAAATATTTCTACTTCGTACTTCCACATATTCATGTATGTCAATTCACACTGTGGCTCATTAGCAAATAATGGCTAAATTGAGAGTTCACGACCAAATTTCAAATTGACGTACTCACAAAAAATGATTTTCCATTAATTTGATGGAGAGGACTCCGGAAACAATGAAATTGTTGGAATTCGTAAACGGAAATAGAAAAAATCAAGTGGCCCATCCCATAAACATTACTATTGGATCCCAAAATCACTGTTTCTCAAAATCTTACTCATGGAAACCGTTAGAATGGATCGTAATAGAATAGTTGCTACATGTATAGCATAGTTAGAAGCTGCAGCATATTACAGGAAGCGTCGTTAATCAGACAAGTATATCAATACTTCATCACAAACTAGGTAAACTCTCAAAGCCATTTACACGACCCTTCCCCAGCCTCGCAAGTCGTAAACATCATAGAATTCAGTAGATGCGGTAGAGCGACCAGAATTACAACTACTCTCCACTCGCAACAGCTCAAACCATAACAAGCATAACAAAAACCAAAACCAAAGGCGCCAAATAACACAAAATCTCATACTTCCAGAACACTCCAGCAGTCCAATCACAATCCAATCACATCGCAGCAGTCAATTGAGTAAAAAAAACAAAATCGCAGACAATCTCAAAGTCCAGAACTACAAACAAG